AAAGAAATAAATAGATATGATAGAGTATGCGAATGAATGCATTGACTAAATAGATAAGGACCACGCCTTGACAGAAAATAAACTTTAAAATAGTCAGAATTATAACTGCTTCCCTTTTTTTCATTTTTACCATTGAAATTCATTTAAAAAATTGTAAAAAATTATGACCGATCGAGAATTAGCATGATTGTCTCCTAATTTACTGGTACTGAAACCTTAATAGACAGAAAAATTAATACGTACATTTTTAATCAAAAAAAAAAAATGATATGTAAAATAATAAAACAATTAACAGTTGACATTAACTGATCTTCATTATTATGATTAGTTTTTAAAAGTTTAGACATGGTTTTAAATGCGATGTAGACTGGATTCATAAAATTATAACAATCGGAAATATTAGGTATCCTGTAAAAAGATATACATCCGCCGAGCTTGGAATATAAGCTAAAAGCATTTAACGAGTAAAATAAACTGAGTAAGATTATAAAAAAATTAAGATAACGCCGGAGAAGGGCGGATAAGCTAGAGAAAGAGGTCCTAATCTTAACACCCAAACGAATCTCATTTGATAATACCAAATGAGTAATTAACAGCAGCCGCTAATTGACCAATATTTCATTATAACTTGACAAATTTCGCTCTACCCATACTACAAATGTTTTTTAAAATCATTTGCTTATAATTAAGTGATTATAAGAAGTCAAAATCAAAACCTATTGAATTTTAATGTCATGACCACATTAAATTTTATTATATATGGAAGGTATGAAATTTTATAAAACCCCCGATTTAAAAATACTACTATGTCTAAACTTATCACTAAATATAACTTCACAATGGTGGAATGGAATTTTATATAGAAATTGCTTTCTTAACAATAGCTAAATTGAATTTTAATGACTGGGCAATTATAGGAAAAGATTTTAAGGCACATTAGTAGCCGGATAATAATACCTTTTATATTTGTATATTGAGTTCCTTTGTGCTCTAGACTCGCGATTCACTTAATCGTTGTGGGTTTTCAAGTTTGTACGAGGTTACGACGTAGCGCAACGTAGCTCGTAGCTCGGGCGCGACTGACGGCCGTAGCGCCGTAGCACTGCGCGCGCAGCCTCGCCCCACACCACATGGACCCAATATCAATCCACATTTCTCTACTATTTTAAAATTATTCACAACAACCAATTTGGTACCATATTAACCTATTCTCAGTTGAAATATAACCAAATAAAGTATTTAGTTAGAGATGTCTTAATAATGAATAATTTATAAAGTAGAGCAAATACTCTTTGTAGTAGAGATTATGAAAAATTACACATTCAGCATCGCGTGACTTAGTAAAACAGCAACAGTATTAAATTTACCTCAAAATCAATACTTCTGTACATTAAATATTGAACTTTGTTTAAAAATATTGCGTACATAATAAATTAGTCTTGAAAGTAAATTTAAGTTTCATGATTTTTTAGTACAAGCATGACGTAAAACAAGAATCTTTTAGAATGAGTTCAAAGCAATTGCTGAAATACTTTTAGAGCTCCATTCACGTTTTGCCTTACTTTGTTAACAATAGAATAATGTTAAACGAGATAGGAGCCTGTAATTCCTCAATGTATTATATTTAAAATTATTTTCTCCCTGATAATCGTCGATTTATATAATAAATAAAGTTTAAGAGAAGATAGAATAAATTTTCTAGCATTAGAATTTTCATGCATTAACTAAAGCTGTTTCCAATGCTAGTTGTAGTTTTAACAACTTAAAAGTTTATGCGGATTCAGTTAATTTTAACTCCATTAGTTTACTTCGTAAGTTTATTATAAAGTAAAAAAGTAGGCCACTCAGAAGTCAGTAATAAAGTCGAAACTATTTCATTTACATTATCGATTTTTATGCAACGTGAATCGCTAATTTATTTTTAAAGACGCAAAGTAATCTCTTACTTAGATATGGTAAAGCTCGATACAAAATAAAACACCCATAAATTACACATTTGAATTTTATAGAGTATAATGCTATAACCGTTAGAAAACGAGGTTTAGGCCAACTGTCATCTCCGACACGAGTCTGGTGTAGCCATATAATACATATCAGAGTTATTAAAACTTTTAGAAGTCTTAAGCTGTAGGTATGTATATCCCGACTGACCTGGTCCAGTGTGGCAGATATTAAATCAAAGTTATCAAGTAAATTTACTCATATTTTTGGTTCGTTCAGTATTATAAGAATTTTGAGTATAAACATTGAATAATTAGTTTCTCATCGTTTTTCAACTGCGAAGCTTTCAACTACAATAAGAGCTCGTTGGGGTCACAGCGATAAAAACATACAATGCGGCAAGCGTTGTGCTACACTGCATTATAGGCGACAAAGTCTCGTCAGCTTATTAAATATAAAACCTACAGACTAAAGTTGACAATTATTCGGTGGTTTAGACACATTGAAAGATTGATTGACATGAGATTAGCAAGTGTTTGGGTTACGGCGAGAGTTGTATTGTTGTATACCTATGCATACCACAAACAAAATTTAAACATGTAATTAACCAAAAATGTTTTTTTATAATATATACAAGGTTTTGAATGAGATAATATTAAAACCGTCACCGACACCGTAGTGATAACATTTTATGTGATATTGACGTGAGATGTGGATTTCTAGAAAATGTGGAGGCGTCGATGAGCTTTAATAGAATCCACCCACAGGAATGACGTGGGACGTTTTTCATTAGTCTACGGTAGTCGAGACGTGAGTTAAATCTTTTCGATTATAAACCTTATTTATCGTTAATTAATACTAAACATTGTTCAAATGACTTTTTAAAACATTTTATATTAACAATGAAATTTCTGAATCAGTTAATCAGTAAATCAGTTTGTACCACTAATAATAATAAAAACAGTCATATCGGTCGTAGTCATCTTTTTCCCTCTATATGCTCCTTTAACACCTTGTCTGTAGATGTAGAAGCAAACGTATATTAAAACTAACTGTACCTGTGCGGCTTCACCCGCATGAAATTATAAAATCTTCATTTGTTTACATTTGTCAAATTTTAAATTGCAAATGCCAAAATTACCATTACTTTATTATCCCTTTCCCACATGAAGGTTTTTTCCAATTTATTTACCGGCTATGTTTAATACAGTGAAAATATATAGCCTAAAGCGTGTCGTAAGTGTAGGGATTTTTATTAAAGAAAAGATTATTCAAAAATATGCTGTGATTGCTGACGTCCTACGCCACGAAGTAGTATATGTTCACGCTTTATTATATTAGTATAGATATAGATAGATGGTGCCATCAGAAACAGCTAAAAATAAATTTGCATGATTGACTAAGTTGCTGTTTATAATGACCGGCCCACGCCTCGCTCAGACCTTTTAATAAAGAACCTTTTCGATGTGAAGTGTGGGTGAAACAAACTTGAAACCCCTAATTAACGGTAGAGATAAAAATGTGTCCAATATAGTATTCCAAAAATCTTACTTATTTGATGATTTTATGTACACTTAATTGAAACAATACAAAAAAAAACTATGTAAAAGTTAATAGGGATTTCCACTTCAGCATAGTATAAATAAATAAAACCACATGGTTCAGTATAAATCCTTTAAGTAAAATTGACGACAATAAAGACTTTTATCCGGCTCATCTGTTTTTAACATTAAAAGCATGATAAGACAACCAATGTTTCACGTCTGAAACGTCTCGGATTATATGTCACGTGAGGAAAAATAAGGTATTTGTTAACATTTCAAATATTACAATCTTACTAATATTATATTGCCAAAGTTTGAATGGATCGATGGATGTTTGTAGCCTATACTGCTGAACGGATCTCGATGGCATTAGACATGGATGTAGAGGATAGTCTGGGAAAACACATAGGCTACTTATTTTTGTTTTTTGAATTCCACGCGGACGGAGTCGCAAGCTAAAACTATGTTATACTTAAATCTCTTTGAGTTATAGACATGAAATAATCGCTTATTTTATCCTATCAAAACTGATAAGTAGTTAGTAAAAAAATT